TATATATATATATATATATATATATATATCTCGTAGTAGAAGATTGGCTGTCTCAATTATTTGTTGGGTCTAAAATATTGAATTGTGATGGGAACTTCACAAAACTACAAAACTTGTGGGCTTCAAATATATATACAGTTTATGAATTGAAGAAAATTTTATGGGATAATTTGACCCACGATTGCTCCATCGGTCAATTTTATTTCCAATTTCTGCTAAGAGGGTTTTAGAGTCAAATGTTTCACTTAATTATACAATGAAAAGTTACAAAAGTTGAATTATTTTATGTCATGTTGGAATTTAGGTACACCATCGTAATTTTAAAAACAATATAGGGGTTATGTATGTTAATTATTACTTTTACATTTAATGAATACAAATTTTTACCCTTGATGTGGATTACGTGACGGCCCAATCTGCCCATAGTGATGACACATGCGTAAATCTATCAAATTAATTTTTAAGTTCGTAAAATTGAGAAATTTCAAAAAGTATATTGCTCAAAGTAATCAAGTTTGGGCAATTATGCAAGCAAAGGTAACATCACACAGGAATCAAATTGATTGGTGCAAAAAGTTGGACATAAGACAAGCTAAGCAACAATCACAAGATGATATCATCATTCAATTAGCAAGTGAGATGTGAAATCCGCTCGATTTTCGTCACAGTTGACTCCAGCTATTCATGTTGGAAAATAGGTTGAAGAAAACAGTAAATTCCTAAAATCTCAAGAATTTGATCCCAGGATCTAATTAAAATTACATTCCCATCCTCCTAAATTAACCACATAATAGGAATAGCGGTGGAATTATCTTCAATGCATGATTACTTTTGCGTTCCAAATTTTTGTTACAAACCTCCAAAAATCTCATTTCTCGATCTTCAAAATTCCTTGTAAGAACGGCAACTGGCAGGGATTTCATTCCACATCCTCTGCTTATACAGGGTTGGACGTAGGGCAGGGCAAGGTGGGGCGAGCGATAAACTCCCAACTCCCATCACCTAGTCTCAAATAAACACTTAAGACCATCTTCAATGGCCTACACCAAATTTGGTATGAACTATTGAAGACCAATTTACACCAAATTTTATTATACAAATTATATTATTACAAAAATCATTAATTATATTTAATGAAGTAAAATATTGTATTTATGAATAAATTGAAAAAGATATTAAACATAATACCGCAAATTATAAAAACTACATTGAA